AGACAGACAGACAGACAGACAACCAGACAGGCAGGCAGGCAGGCAGGCAGGCAGGCAGGCTGAATGACTGACTGACTGACTGACTGACTGACTGACTGACTGACTGACTGACTGACTGACTGACTGATTTGCATGCATGCATGCATGCATGCATACATACATACATTACGATAATTACATACATACATACATACATCCATACATACATACATACATACATACATGCAAACATACATACCCACATACATACATACATACATACATACATACATACATACATACATACATACATGTTACAAACATGTGGAGACCTATGAATGTACATACCTGTGTACCTGTGTACAGGTATACATATACGTACACATGTGTGACTCATGTGTGAATGTGTCTCACGGGTAATGATTTCTTTCCTTCCAGATAGAACCTGTAGAGGTAACTGAATGTAAGTATGCATGTACGTATGTACACATAGAAGTACAGTATGTAATGTATCATGTGCTGACGTGATGTGATTTCTGTATCGCAATGTACTGCAATGTCATGTAATATGGTTAGCTATAGGCATGCCGTACATATGTATGTATGTTTGTACGTATGCATGTAACTTTGTATGTACGTATGCATGCATGCATGCATGCATGCATGCATGTATGTATGTATGTATGTATGTATATATGTAGGTATGTATGTGTTTGCGTGTGCGTGTGTATGCACGGATATATGTGCTGTAAGTTTTATGTATGCATGTGCGTATTCATGTGGGTACACACGAAAGTACAAGAAAGTACGCAGGTAGGTATGCAAGTAAATAGACTTCTAAGACAGAAGGAATACATCACTAGTAGCAGACCGATAGGGAGATCGATATGTAGATAAATGGGCAGACTCAGACTAACAGACAGATAGACAAACAAAACAGTTAGACAGACTTATAGAAAGATAGACCGACAGATAGATCGGTAGATCGACCGCAGGATAGATAGGTGGATAGATAGATAGATAGATAGATAGATGGATAGATAGATAGATAGATAGATAGATAGACTTCTTGATATGTAGGTAGATAGGTAGATAGGCAGGTAGGACATGGTAGGACGGTTTAACATGCTGGGAAGGAAGATAGCTAGATAAGCAGGTAGGGAAGGTGTATAGATGGATAAAAACAGGGATCGAGCCAACGAGGCCTGAGGCTGTGGAGGCCGGGGATGGGTTTACGTAAATTTTTAGAATAAGAGCTACGAGAGAATGTTTATTACTACCAACTATGTAAACCTCTATCTCAATAAACCATGAACCCTACTACCCCACACCAAGTCCCTAAAGCCTTGAATCGCGCAGTCCCCGACGACTAACTCACCCGGATGAGTTCGTGATGAAGGAACGACTGAGCGGCCGCAAGGGTGAGAAATTTGGGGTTCGACCCTTAAACCCTAAACCCTAACCTGGACCCTCAAATGTGGCACCATGTTTTGATGACTTTAGTGTCTCATTATAGGATCCAAACTATGAGCCCTAAACCCTAAACCCTAATGAAACTACTGCATTCGACTGTCTCGGTAGGGGTGACTGTGACCTGACGTCCTAAGGCCCTGGGAAGCAAATTGTCGCATACGGGGCTGAGGTTCAGGGCTTAGGGCCTGAACCCAATGAAACCCACAGCTCAATGCTGAATCACAGGCAAGTTGACCGAAATGCTCGTTGAAAGTGGCTTGAGGCACTGACCAATCGTCGTTTTCACTCTTCTGGACCAAGTTCTCGAAGTCGTAGTGGGTCCCCTGGGCAGACTTTACCATCATGCATGATCGGGACTATAATATACATCAACATACTACAATCTACTACAAGATACTACAATACACTATAATACACGATAACGTACTATACTATACTATCTCTTCGCTATGTTTGCTTCTAACTTTCCAACGGGGGGTCGGCCTTCGTCTCATGCCAAGACCGTAGACCCTCGACCCTGGACCGTATGTCTGGCTTTCGGGCCAATGGAGCCTGATTGGTTAGCGCTTAGGCCCTACCTGGACCCTGCAAAACCTCTGATGTTTTTAGGGTCGTTCTGATCATTTCTTTATGTAAGTCGTAAAAAAGAAGGTCACTGCGGGTCAAGGTCGGGTTTACGGTTTCAGGCTGAGGGTTTCCATGTCGTGCTACTCTCAGTCCAGCTATACGGAGAACGTCAATGAGATGCCGACTGAATTCTGAAGCAGTGTTCCGTCGTAACATGATAAGATGCTCTCATCGGCTTTGGCTTACTAGCAGTAGTGTTGCAAGTGTACTGCAGGAAGCGCTTGTCCTGCCTGTCTTGGCTTCTGACAACAAAGCTACCACGATCGTCGCCAGTGCACTGAATGATTTTGAATGTGGGACCCTGGAGCCCAAAGCCCTTTCTGAACGCTCAACCCAAAACCCTGAAACTTGCACTTTTGGCCCGAATACCATCAAACGGTCATGGTTGCTACGTGTTGAAGTCTGGGACCAAGGCGTGCAGGGAATGGCTTGGCATGCCCAAAAAAGGTACTTTAATCAGGGCGTAATTTTAGGGTTTGGGGCTGCTTAGGATTTCGCATTCTAAGGTACAAAGCTTTTAGGGTTTGTGCCGTTTTGAAGTTATGCATCGTGCCGCCTTGAACTCTGCGAACATCTGCACCAGCGGCTTGCCGACGACATTCCTGGGACAGTGGCTGCTTTTCACAACTCAACACTGAGGACCAAACCAGCGACGCCAGAATCTAATGCACCCAACCTGCCAGAACCCCCCATAGAAGGGCCCAGAGACTCCAATACCCCTTAATTAAGAAATATACCTTAAATTATAGTAGGATCCCTAATAAGATTTAAGGTATATTCCTTAATTAAGGGGTATTGGAGTCTCTGGGGGTTTCTTTCTATTAACAGCTCGACATCCCCAGCCCGTGCGTGAGGCTTGAGGCAGCTCCGTACAAGATAGAATACAGCGAACTCATCTTGAAACTAAGATCACAACCTTACCTGCAGACGCATGTCTACCGTAGATCCTCATATATACCCTAAACCCGTATGGTGTCCTTGTAGAGGACCCCTTACAGAGGAATCACGGAAGCCAGGTGCCCCCGAAAGGATCAGGAGCGAGCTACGACCCTACAGCCCAGAGGCCCTCTGGGCAGTAGACGCAAGACTCTAGAGGGTTGAGGGTAGGGTTGAGGCTTTAGGGTTGAGGGTCTAAGGTTTAGGGTTGAGGGCCTAAGGTTTAGGGTCTAGGGTTGAGGGTCCAAGGTGTAGGGTTGAGGGTCGAAGCGATGTTTGCTTGCAATTCAGGGCGACGCACGAAATGCAAGTAAAGGAACAAACTTGCTATCGCTTTCCCTGTGGTACAGTCAATGCTACACCGTAGACTTTGAACCTTCAGCCCTAAACCCTGCTCCCTACACCCTGACCCTACGTAGTCGATCTTTACAACTATTGCCCACAAACGCTTAGGTGAGCTTCAAGGTGCGAGGAAGGAGGGCAGGCCTATCGTTTCTTCGAATCCGAAAGCCACAGTCCCTAAACATGAGACCCCGAGACCCCCACTGCTTAGGGTTGTGTTTAGGGCTTAGGGGTTTAATGGTTTAGGGGTTCAGGGTCTAGGGGTTTAGGGCTTAGGATTTAGGGTTTAGGGGTTTAGTAGGGTTTAGGGGGAATGCCGACCCGCGATGCGACAGCGCTGATAGCATGGTGTTGAAAGGCTTCTCTGATTCATCTCCAGGATACACCCGAAAAGCAGGCCATTTACACACTTGGCATCTGCAAGATGGTGCTTGCTGTTCAAGCAAGCATGTTACATTAGCAATGTATTCAGTGCCTTGGCTTGCAGATGGTTTCCTCTTCTCTTCTAAATCTTGCTAAACCTGCGACCCACTATATACAGGTCAAAAGGCATGACCATGGATAGGAAGGACACCGGATTCACAGGGAATACAACTACCCAGTTACCCAATCCGGAAGCTATACAATAAGTATCGAACAAGAAACCTTGGTTCTCCCGTATAATGAAAACCGTACAAATTCATAGATGTCCTCTTAACTTTCCTAAACCCTAAACCCCTCAACCCTAAACCCCAAACCCTAAACCCCTAAATCCCTAAATGCTGACTCCCTTTTCACAGGCTGGTGGGTGAACTGGCACGCTTGCTTGGTAGTGCTTTGCGTGAACAGAGCGCGCAAAAGCTGACTGGACTCGAAGAGAAAGTCGCCAAATACTTCCTGAATGTATTCGTAGTGCCATGATCCTTTTTTGGGCTTTCGGCGGGGTTCAACTCCGGAACTTCATGCCAGCAAGAAGCTCACGATCCGAAAGCATTGCCTTCCTCACTCAACGATGGCAGAACTCCACGGCACATCAGGCGGACTGCCCGTTTCGCTCTTTATCAAACCCACCAATCTCAGAGCACCATCTCCGAGACAACACGTGCTGCTCACATCATTGATCCGCTTTCCGCCTTCCTGGACCCTAAACCCCTAAATCCTAAACTGTGCTAAACCCTAAAAACCCTAAACTCTAAACCCAATGCCCCTAAGCCAATCTCCTTTACAAGTTCTGACAAAAAGGACTGACAGCCTTTTGTGGAAGCCAGGAGCAGAGCTTTAAGGTCAGGGCTTCAGGGCTGTGGGGGCTTAAGGCTTAGGGCTTAGGGCTGTACGGCTTTAAGTTAAGAGGTTGGGGCCTTAGGGCGTGTAAGTTTTCGGGCTTAGGGCTGTAGTTTTAGTTGGTTTAACGTCTAGCGGTTCCGGACTCCCTGATTAAGAACTGCTCACTGAAGACTTGAACAATATCTACGGTCTCTGTGTAGTTGAAGAGTATTCCGCCTTAATTCAGGGTATTGGTCTCTCGGAACATTTTGGAGCCTAGGTCTCTTTAACGCAAAGGAATACGTGAACCTGAACCGGAAATGTGAAAACATTTTCAATCCTACATCAATGCCAAAAACCCATGACGCCTTGCACAAACATATCAGAACATATCCAAGGCACGTCAGAACATTCAGGCGGCCGCGATGCGGCATGCCGATGACAACCTCTTTTTGGGTGAACGCATTCTCTGCTGAACGATGCAAGACAACTCTCACCCGAACTTCAATGTTGCTTCTGCTGGTGTTGGTACTTACGAACGTACTATAGGAGCAGAGGAATTCGTGACAATTACCCACCTGCACCTTACTTTCAACAAGTCGAGAACAAATCAACGAAGGCAAACCGAGGCAAAGAGGAAATAATGGAACGAGATCGGACAATTGAAGCCAAGCAACAGTTTCGGCGAAGAACGACAGCATAACCCTAGGCTGGCCCAAGACCCTACACCGCAGAGTAGCCAAGAGAAAAGATATGGAAAGAGCAATGCGCAGGGAACAGGGAAGCTTAGCCTCTTAAAGCATGACGGAATTTCGAGTCTACACTAGGCGCCTGCTATTATATAAGCAGGACAAACTTTGTTTATCCCTTGTTGCTAAGCTTTCCTGCCTCTATTGAATGCGTAAAAACTACCTTGCTATCCTGTTAATACGGAGGTCCTTGTGGACATACCGCTGGTCAGCGACAAAATTTGTACGTTTCCGATACCGAAGCTGCAAGGGCAAAATCCGTGCAATCTTAACACTAAGAAACCTCGACCTAAAGCCGAGTCTGCACGTCGATTGTACGGTTTCGTTCTGCGAACTAGGTTGGTCTACTGGCGGTCTTGGGGGTATCCTGTGTCTTCTGAAAGTCTCGCATACACAGATGCAGGGCCCTAATGCCGCAACCAGATGTCGGCTCATGATGGAGTCCCGAAGTAATCAGGTCATCAAACCCAGCTGAAAACCCCAAGCCCGCAACATTCCCAACACAACCCTGGAATCCTGACCTCCAGTCTATGCCGCCTTCAAACCCTGTCGTCTCAAGCACCAGAATCCAGTACCTAATACCTACTATTCATCACTACTAGCTTATACTGTCGATATCCTACACCCAAATTCGAAATTATCGAACCGTATAGAAAGCTTTGTTAAACCTCTTGTTACGTAGTTTCCAGTTCCATCCTGAGGATTATGGGAAGCTATGGGGAACCTCCTGAACCCCCATCTCCGACGCTTTCTCGATGGCGGCATTGACACCGGCAACGGCGGCCTGACTAAATACAAAGGCATTGGTAACTAAGTTCAACGAAGGTTTAACATAACTTTGGGTGCCAGAGGAATCTCTTTATGATAAAAAAAACTCATTGGGCCTAAGAAATCCCCCGGACAGTGTGGTACCCAGTCGGGAACGTGCGGTTCATTGTTAATACATTTGCCTCATTCTGGCCTCGAAATCTTTGCACAACCGGCCAGCACATGCAGATGGTCGTGGGGGTCGGCATTATGGTCATGGCGTCCTGGAGCTGCCCTGGTGGTCTGGCTGTGGTCTGTGCTACGCGGTGAACCGGCCTCGCTAGATCTTGCCTGTACGCATACACATACGGAATAATTAACTACAGCATGTCGAAAAGTATCCTATAAGATGCCATCTTCTTATGTTGTACTACACATATACTGTATACTGTACAACGTACCCGTACGTTTGTAAACAATGGTGCGACGTAGAACCGCTGTGCGCGCTCTAAAGCTTGCAGCATGGCTACCGCGACATGCTGAACTGTCTGGTGCACGGGTCTGCTGTGTGGGGGCACGAGCATAATCATATTGCAGTAAGTTGTTGTGGCACAAGCTTGCCCGAACAGGGGAAGCATCAACAACAGTAGCCTCTTTAAAGTAGGGTTGCAAGCCATGATTCGCGGCAACTCGCACTTTCACGAACCTGCGCCAACAGACAAGGTTCTGTTTTTTGTTGAGTGTTCCTTGCAAGCCCTGGTTGACTTACGAAGTCAGGAAAATCGTCTACTAATGACATGCATGCGCAGCCAAACCTGCCACGTGGATGTTAACGAAACTCAACTCATGAATCTTCAAGGTTCTTGGGCAAGTGGTGTCGTTGCACATGCAAATTCCGAAACCATTTGGCGGCTGAAGACGTCCTGCCGTAATTTGGCGAGTTTAACCGGAACTTGCGTCCCTGTGTGAAGTTTAAGTGAGCCATTTTTCAGGAATTCCAACTCCAGCTGGCGCAATCGGTATATAGAGACCAATGACATGCTTCTCGAAAAAGTGCTCCCTAAACCACCAAACCCTAAACCCCTAAACCCTAAGCCACAACTTAACCCGAGTTCCCTTGCGAGAACCCAGTGACTCCGAAAGCCCTGGTGCAAATCTTAAACCACCCTAAATTAAAGGCTTAACCAAAAAGGCACTACACCAGATGACTCGGGGTAGCATCCTCAATCCTGAACCTCAAACACCATAAATCCTAATCCAAGGCCTCCACCCTAAACCTCATTGTTGTAAGTCGTAAAGCCGGCAACAACGGATCAGAAACCAAAGAACTCCAAACCCTATGTAAACCTCCTAAGCCCTGCTATAAGCCCCAAGAAACCTTCCTTTCCAAGGGCTTACGAAAGGACACCGTAACAAGGAGTGGTAAACATGTAGCGGGCTGCGGTGTCTAGTACTTTTCACCTGAAATCCAAGACCTCCAACCCTCACTCCCTCCCAAATGCTGGTGCACATCCTTAGCCCTAAAGCGCCAGTTCAAACACCACCAAGTCCGGAATATTGAATCCTTCATACTTACAAAGAATTTGCGGACTAACTATCCAACTCTATACATACAAACAAACAAACAAACATACATACATACATACATACATACATACATACATGCATGCATACATGTACATATACATATACATCTACAGATATATATACATACACATCTACATATACAAATACATAGAAATATACACAAACATATAACCATACACATACACATACACATGCACATACACATACACATACATACATATGCATATACACATACATATACATATGCATATGCATATACATATACCTATGCATATGCATATACATATACCTATGCATAAACATACATACATACATACATACATACATACATACATACATACCTACATACCTACATACCTACATGCATACATGCATACATACATATATATATATATATACATACATACATACATACATACATACATACAGATGCATACATACATAGATAAGTAAGTAAGTAACTAAGGAAGTAACTAAGTCTGTAT